TTGTAAAATGACAGAGTAAAATAATTTTAATGTTAGTCGATCAAGACATCTTTCATGAAGGATGATTTAGGTCTGTGTGCTCTGGATGGCAAACTAATGGTTAGTCTAGCCCTCGTGCAGAAATGCAAGTATAAACCAGAACCCGGAGATTGTTGGTTTGGTTGAGTGACTTTGAACTCCACATCTGTTTCTGAGCTCAAAAGATCCCCAGAAGGCCCAGAGCGTGACTCAGACCCTAGAATAGATGCTACTATATTATTAAAATCTTGATAAGGTGTAGTTTGAGATGTTATGGGGTACTCTCTGTGGGTGTGTGTTGCCCACTGGTTGGTCTTGCTGACTCATTGTGCACCATTCGACAGTCAGAGCACGTTGCATCCTTTAATTGAGCACCATGATGCAATCTCTTTTTCCTGCTGCATTAAGGAAATAGTTAACCCATCCTGTGTCTCTTACTTTCACAATTCTAATTTTAGAAGCATTATCTTTATATCTGTTTGAGTTAAGGTAAATGGAGAGCAGAATCACTTTCATTTCTGTCCTGTACATGTCAGAACATGGTTAAAATAAAGTCTGATGCTTTTCATGTCTTGCATTTATATGAATTGAGAGGATTGGTTGCAGCCAGGTGGTGTTAATCACATGATTTAATGAGTGTGTAGAAATCTGATTATCTGTGTTGAAGCAGAAGTTTTGGCAGTTTGTAGGTCTGGTGCTTTGGAGGTGTGTTAACTTTATGCAAAGAAGTGAAGACAGCAGCAGTGATCCTAAAGACAGTAATGATGTATCTAAAAAGGGAATTTTATAAGACTGATGCTTAGTCCATCGTTTTACAAGGAAAACAATCTCTGACTAGAAGAGAAGACTATGAACGGCTGCTAATCTTCCCAAAAGTGTTTGTTTCAGCAGGTTCACTCTGAGGTCAGGCTGTTTGAAGCCCAGTTATCTCCCCAAAACAGTCAGCCACATCTCAGACTCCACAGGCCTTAGATAGCTTGTTTACTGTTAACATGCCCCCTATGCTGCATTTGAAAAAAGAAAAGATTTAGAATAAATATATCCAAACAGTATAGACAAAGATGTACCACATCCTTGTCCTATTGCCTCCAATCAGTATTTCAAAGTCTAAACAGCATGCTTTCTTTACTGATTCTATACAAAAGATCCATTCGTCCGTCTCCTGATTACTTGATTTTTTTAGATTCCATGTTGGTCTGAGAATATTGCCATATTTAATTTAAAAAATTTTTAGAAACCCTTTGTTAGATGTCAAGACAGTATGGTTTAAAAAAGCAGTTTGATTATGCAATGGTTTAGAAATGTGCCCTAAGAAATGTAGATCTCTAAATGAAAAGTAAGTGGCCCAGCTTGGGTTGTAAAAACTTGAACTATTTTAGCACGGTGTTGTTTGAAGAACGGAGATATGAGTGGAAATTCTTATCCATAATATTGAGTGTAATTTTTTTAAATGTATTTTAAAAAATAAAGAATAGAAAATCTTAACTCCGAGTTTAGTGATGATTAGGACATGATGCGGACATCCTGCAGTCAGAGTCAAATTTCAATATGGCCTATCAGTTTATTGGACTGAAGCAAAGTTGTAAAGATAAGCAGGCTCAAACTATCCACACATTGTAAAAGTTTACTTCCACAGTATGTTTGGAAATGGATCAAACCATCAGATGATTATTTTGCATGTCTTCTTACAGTATTTATTTCATTTTAAAATGGTCAGTTGCTCGTAAACGTGTGCGTCTCCTATGACTATGTGCAGTAGGTCTGCTGAAAACCCAAACCTCCTGGTAATAAACACAGTTTGCTCTTTACATGGATGTGCCCAACTGACAGGTTTGTATTAATCTGTTGCTAAATGGGGAAACGCCCACATATACAGTGAGGAACGATGCTGTTTTCATCAGCCTCTCTGCCTTTGTGTTTGTGTGAAAATCTGTAGTTACACTGTGGAGGATTAGTCGGCCATCCTGTCTGTTTCACAGAGAGAACAACTCTGCCGAAAGCTGCCGACTCGTCTTCAAACCCGTCACAAGCTGCTATTTCTGATTATATCGCAGATGTCTCCTCTTTCCTCTCCTCTCTCTGTTCATGAAACACTAAATTGAAATATTAAATGCAAAGAATATTTTTTTTCCCTGCATTTTGCTCCTTATTAGACCTTAGTAACACTGATGTAATGCAAAGCATTGATAGAACATCAGAGCTGGAGGCCTCTCCCTCATACTCTGGCTTCCCTGCTCTCCCCTTATAAATTCTTGGATTGGATTTGATAAGAACAATGCGTTGGACTCCTTTTTGTGGTTGGTACTGTTAAGCATGCTCCAGGCTTAAGTAAGGAAGTAGCTAATGAGTGCTGGTAATTTCCAAAGCCGAATGTGCAAAGTGTGATCTTTGGGGGGTTTAGGATGTTGGGGATCAGCGTAAACAGAGCTAGACTCTTACAGGAGGCACTCTAGTCTTAGTAATTGAATAATAAGATTCCTTAGATGCAGATAAGAGGTTTAGAGGCAATTACTGGAGTCTAAAAATCTCCCACCCCCCTCCATGGCTTATGTCTATGGTTCTCTTTTATGCATACTCCTCAGGGATAGTAAATGCACTTTGATTTTCTTTCTCAGATTAGTCTAGAGATGGGCTGTATTTTATAGTATTTATAGAATGAAAATGTGGAAAAACCTGTTTTATGTTAGAAAAGCTGAATGTAGAAATGTTTTAAAGAGGTTAGCAGTTAGAAATGAGGAAAGATGCATGTATGAGAGGGAGAAACTGTGTAGAATGGCTGCAACTCAAGGGGAAATTCTTTCAAGTCCAACATTGTCTATGAGCATAAAGCAACTTGGGAAACAGTGGTGGCTGAAGAGCTGAGTGGCGAGCTTTTTGTCCTTGATGTTTTATAAAGCCTGAGGCTAAAGGGTTCATCTTTAGAAACCATCATTTGCTTTGCAGTGCACTGCAAGTGACCAGGACTAGAATTGAGGCGTATTACTGATGAAACATTGCAGGTTATAGATTTTAGACAAAGTTTACACCAAAATACTTACATTTTTAAACAAATACTTTAAGTTAGCCCTCACAACTGTACATAATAAGATATTATTAATAATACTTGGTATCTGCCCATATGTTTACAATAAACAAACAAAGTATAGCTGTGCATGGATAATATTAGGGCTGTTATTGACAAGTAGGGTGTGTGAGCCTCTGCATGAACATGTTTTCTTAGTTTAAGTTAACAAGACAGCTTGAAAGCCAACCTGAAGGAGGATGTGCGGCTTTATTTCCCAGCAGCTTGTGGAAAGATGGACTTTTATGACTTTATTTTGTTGACATTAGGATGCAGTATCCTTCTAAGACGTCTCCCTTTGTCTGGATAGTTCTTTAAGGTCTTATCCTCTGTTTTACTAAGGAGATATCATCCAAGGAGAGGCTACAGAGACATCTGCATAACATTGTAAAGAAGAGGAGCTTACCCCTAGTTACCTGGCACCCATGAGGATTTAGTCATCAACACTTATTATTATAGGAGCTCTCTGCACCAAAAGGGGCAGATCACACCTGCCTTTAATGTCTGCCTTTCTAAGACTCCGTTACACAGCTGCAAAGTTTAGGAAGATCCTTTTCACTGGTGTGAAGCAGTCCTTTGGGTGTCTTCTCCCAAAACAGAGAAGTTATTAACATCTGCTGAATTATCAGTTACCCCAATACCCTGCAAATATACACACCGGAAAATAAGACTTCCTTCAAAACAATGTTTTATCAAACACTTCTGCATTATCTAACAGTTTGTTTTATTGAGGTATAGTCATTTTTCAATAAGGCAATTTTAGATTAGTAGAATTTAATCAGTTTAATTAAATGTGCCATTCCTAATTAGAGAGTTAAAAGTTAGGGAGCATTAGGAAGCATTTTTTCTGCCTTTACTTTGTTGCACCAGAGATATTGGTTGTTTGGAACCTAGAAAGTTGTGGAAAATTGTGGTTAATCGAAGAGTCTGTCCGGCATCTATTTCAAAGCACTCAAAGTATAGAAATAGTGAAGGTCAAGCCTTCATGTAGGAATGACTGTTTAAAGGTTTATAGCTTTATTTGTTGGAGTTTTATAATCAGTAAAACATTTATGATACATGCATGCATTGCTCCTGTTGATGCTTCTGCCATGTAGGTCAGTTTTCTAAAATCATCAAAAGCCATAGCATGTATATTCTTTATTCTGGAGAATATACAAGTCTATATAAATTAGCTGGTTGCATATTCCAACACCTTTTAGAGGTAATCGGAGGCAGAAAGAAAAAAAAATAAGTCCTAAACTGTTATTTCTTGCTTATTTAGCTCAAAAGTTTATTTAAAAAAATGTAAAGAATTGAAAAAATAAAATAAAATATGCACAGCTTATACATGATGTTTTGTAAGGTTTACACATAGAAATAGGTTTAGATTTTAACTCTCTGCCCTTGACATCCCTTGATGTAAATTTAGTTGCCAAGGTGGGTCTGGTCTTAAGCAATAATATTTCAATTACATGTTTCTATAGTTCGGCTCTAGATATCTGTTGTCTGTCAGCTAAGTCACAAATTGATGTGATTTATCTTTGTAAGGTGAAAACATTTTGTGTATGTTTAGGTATGATGTGTAAGCAGATGATCTGTGGTAGGCTGTGCCCCAACACTGAGCTGTGTAATGCCCATGAGGAAGGTCAGAGAGAAAATGTGGAGGAACAGATAGGAAGCCAGAGGCATCTATCCAACAGCCTCAGGGCTGACATTTCTCCTTAGAGAATGATAGGATGGAACCACAGAGCAGAGAGCCACTGAACAGTGAGGAAAGGAAACGGAACGAGGTCGAAAAGAGGCTGATCCTGCAGAATATGTTGTCATCAGCTCATGCCTTGAAGCACAGCTCCGATCTTTAATCGCATCTCCTGATCTGATTGCGAGAGAGAGAGAGAGATGGTAACAAGAAGAGGCGGAGAGAAACCGACTGCTGTCACATGAGAGGGAGGGGAGTAATGGCAAGGTGAAGGGAGGTATCGAGACGACTGAAGCACTGATAGGAGTGCCACAAGCTAGAAGGGAGTGATCGAGAGTGGGAAGTGGAAGGGAGAAGGCAGCATAACAGCCTGGATAGAGTGGTGTGCGAAAAACAACTGGACCGCAGAGGACAAGAGGGAAAACGTCTGAAAAAATGGGAGACACACATTTGGTAAAGAGGAATCCGGACTGCACGGGAAACCAGTAACAAGGTAGAGGGGAAGAGAAGCTCTAGAATTATAGTAGAAGAGAGGATTTGTTAGTCGATGAGGTCAGATAGTAGAGTATGTGACTGTTAAAACTGCTTTCTTCCCTGGGAGGAGCTGGACAACTATGTTATGAATCTTGTGACGGATGTGTGTACGTGCTTGTGTCAAATGAAGACAGAAGAACTGTTATTCTGAGAGTTCTCGTGCATTAGGCAATATCTGCAGCATTTTGCCTACCTGTACACTGTTTGACCTTCCTTAGTCAGCAGGAGCAGTGAGACTGCAGAGAGAAAGAAGACGGAAAGGAAGAGAGATGAAGCAAGTGTGAATCTACAGTAAAATACCCTGAAAGAGAGAGAGAGCTGAAGTGGAGTTGCAGCTGAGGGAGTTGTTGCTGTGATTGGTGTGCCTGCACCAGCCTAACAATTGTAGACCCGTTCACCTCTGTTTGGAGCTGCTGTGCTGATACTCTGGATTCAGTTTTTGTCAGATGGGAAAACTTGGACCTTTAATCACCTACAGGCTTTTAAACAAGGCTTCTACCTGGATATATGGACTGGAAAACTCTTACAAATGACCTCAGTTTTTTGAGAATACCTGCATTTAGATTTCCTGCTAAATTAATTTCTGAACATTTATAGATATTTCCGAATGTTAGAGGTGTGAGTCTTCAAAAACGGAAATGTCAGATAATCCTCAAGGGTGCTTTGGACCTGATCCAAGGGGGGGAGACCCTAAGACGGGAGAGTCTAAAATGGGAGAGGGGATGAGAATGGGGGAGAGAGAAGGCCCACTGAAGCTGTCACCTTTCCGTATGCTACGAATGTTGGATGCATGCCGGCCACCGGGAAATCGGATCGGTAAGTTTCACCCAGAAGTTCATCTGCATCCGAGACTTCATTTCACTCAGTCCCAGACAATATATCTTAGATTGTAGTTAAGCTGTGTAAATCTCTGAAATACAGGCAAATGTTGGTTGTGACGTATAAGTAAATGATTGCCTTTCTGCCAGCCAAATGAGTAGATTACTTCTAGCCGTACCAACACTGGCAAACGTTGTGCTAGTTTTACTGCTGGGGAAATAAAATTGAAAATAAAACAATTAAGTTTCAAAGAATGTAATAAAGGCAGTTGGTTTCTCAATGTTATTGCTGTTTGATTCATTTGCAATATGGATTACAGAAGAAATGGTTTACAGATTAACATTGTAGTCACTAGTACCCTTAATTCCTTAAATAAGAAGCACTTTTCCTTTGAAATTTAAGTTTTTCTTGTCGACACAGAGAAAAACAGATCTGTTTCAGTGGGGCGCATCAAAGAAGATCAAACATTTATATTGGTGTTAGTAAATCTTAGATTTAATTCAAAGTTTGAGGCTTGTCTTCACATATTCTCTTTTTGTCTGCTGGTTATGATTCCAGCTTCCTTAAACCCTTGGTGACATCTCTGAGGTAGCCCTAAAAGCAGCCGGCTTCAAGTCTTCTAGCAGGGAGTCAGCAACTCTAACTAGGCCAACCCTGCTCCATGCAGGGACGCAGCGGTAACTTGTGACATTTACTGTCTGCTCTTTGTCTTCTGAGGAACTGGAACAGAAGAGGCTGCAAAAGATGTTAGGATGTTGTTTTCATGGGACTAGAAGAGTTAGAGGAGGACAAGTGTGCTTTGTAAAGAATCTAAAACGACCTATGCTGATTGTTGGGTTGTTTTGCATTTTGATGGAAAATTCCTCCTACGAAATGTTGATCTTATTTACCCTCATCTGCTTAACTGTTTATGCAACCAAGCAGGATCAGGGCCTTTCAAGTAAAAAAAAAAGTCTCTCTTTGTGATACTGTAGTACCTGGATACTCAGCTGTCACAGCCTTGTGAAGTTGTGTCCGCTTGTGTTCATTTGTAGCTATGCAGGATCAGTTTCCTGTCACTCTGGTAACTCTGTTACCTCAGGTATAAGATTTCACCATCTGGATTGTGAAAGTTAATTCTTTATTATGTGACAATCGGCTCTTCACAGAACCTAACCTGTATTCTTACAACAGAAGTGTCAACAATAATTATGCTTTTGCACAAACATTAATCTGCATATTGGCTAATATACTATAAATCATCACATGCTTATTTGGTCAACTTATTAACCTTTTAATGCTATAACATTGTTCAGCTAAAACTAAAATTAGTTTATTGGATCAGATAAAATTCATCTGATGCCAGTAAAGTACGTGTTTTTACTTGTATAATTAGGTCTCTACTATTTTTTTTTTTCCAACATTTAGAAAGTTTTTGTTGTATTAGAGATTGAACTTTATAAGACCGACCTTTCAAGAGTCTTGAGAAAAAACAGTCTCAAAGACTTTCAATAAAAATGTGCAAATTAACTTACTTTTATTTTTATGTAAAACAAGACTGCTACTATTACTACTGCTGGTAGATAACTACAACATAACACATGTTTTTGTTTTATTAACTATATTTAAAGCTGTATGAAGTTGGCTATAGCAGAAATAATTTTAAGCATGATTAAGTATGATGAGTGCGTATTTTTAGTCATTCTTGCTTTGGAATCTCCTTTCAACGCAAAACTGTAGCAGTTAACTTTGCATTTTTTTTACCAGTCCACAAAGTGGAGGAAGATATAAACCAATGAATGGAAGTAGTATCATTAGAAGTGTTTTAGATCCAAATCAACTAAATAAGTTGATTACAGTATGATTTTTTTTCTTTCTCATTTTCCTATGATTATTATATTTTAATGGCCTAAAAAGTTGATCTTTACTAATTGGCCAGTTTTTATACTTCATCAGTCAGGCAGCCCAACCTTACTGACCATTTCTTTTCAAATAAGTGATATATTTAAGGCCTACTGATTACCTGTCACCAAAAAATATATAAACAATATCCTGATTAAAATATTAATTGTATGATCAATTTAAATAGGCTCAATAATGAATATTTGGATGCTTTTCTACTTTCCTTGCGTCTCTCTCTAGTAAAGAGCCCAGATGACAAAATATTTCATTCCAGTAGATCAGACTTGAATCCCCCTCCCCTTGTCTTTTCCTTAGGGTAACGAGTGTAGCATGAAAAACTTGTGACTGAAAGAGTATCAAGCCAGAGAAATGCTTGTGGAGGTTTGAAAGATTCAAAGATGTTATTGGTTTCAAAGCTGAATGCGACAGCTGCAGTGTGGGAGCATTTTAGATTCAGACCAAATGACATTTATATTGTTTATTGAGATAATTTCTGGGACAATCTATCATGCAGAAAAAAAATGATCCTGTCAGACATATAAACAGGCATATTTGATGTTATTCCTTCCTATTTTACCAAGGGCACAATGGAATATGGTACTATGGGTTTGATGGTACAGCAGGCAAGTTTGTTTCAGTTTTTACTGCAGGACTGCAACACTGGGGGAAGAAAAAAATGTTTGCGTTTGGAAACAATTTTTAAAACTTTGGTTTACTTTTATGCTAGAAACAAGTTGATGCCCATGAGAACATCTGTAATGAACAGAACACGGAAATTTGATGGCTTGGACAGATTTAAAGAGGCAGAGCAACCTCTCATCCATCACCCCAGCTCTTTAACATATGAATGGTATGAAGGGCTGCTTTTAATTTCATCAGAGTATTGGATAACACATTTCCATTATCCCTTATGTGATTGCTCCTATTTAATTCATTCTAAAATTTAGAAAATGTTGCTATATTCGAAGATAGTCTAACTTTAAAGAGGGGTCGTTTCTGAAGTAGAAATACCTGAAATAGAAAAGATGAGTAAAGATTAGTTTGCTAAATAACCAGAGTAAAATGTTTATTGCTGCGTTTAGTTTCATGGTGCTTTAAATGAAAAGATTTTGTTTATTTGTTGCATTTCTTTTTGTTCTCTTAAGAAAAAGTATGCAGCTTGTATTTTTTATAACCTTATTACAGGAATAGATACAAAAGAATAACCTAGAATAAGCTTTAGCCAGTCTGCAGCTGACAGCCTAACATACTAAAACAAATAGCTTTACTTTTCTAGCCAAGAGTTTTTATATCCCATGGTTGAGGTGTCACAGAAAGTCAAGGAAGTTACTTTTCTTTCCTCATTATTGCTTCTTGCCTCCAAGTTCATTCTCTTTCTAGCTTCCTAATCTCTGTCCCTATGTCATATCTTAGCAGCTGTCTGGCTGTTGCAAGGATAAAAGCAGTAGTTAATGTCAGATTATTTTAAAATGTTTTCCTTTCCTTGAATAAGTTCTGTCTTCTTTGAATAAACACAGTGAAGATACCGTACGGGCCTGTGCATGACCAAGGCGCTCTTACAGAGAGCCGGGACCCTTTTGTCCCTTCCCCCACGTTTCTCCTCACAAACAAACCAACATGGTGGAGGCAGTCCTGTCAGCTGCACCATGACTCATTAATCAGATGGATTCTAGGCCAAATGAAGGTGTTGGGGGTGGAGAGCAGAGATGGGGAAACCTCCCGTTCTATGCACTTGCATTGATCTCTGACCTCCGTATGTTATGAGTGGCATTTTATACACACTTGGCTTACACCCCTTACTATTACTGGTGGCACAATCAATCATTTGGAGAACTGCCTTTGGCGGCCAGTGGACAGGGAATAAAATCTAAGAAGGACGGTGTTCTACAGAGCCTTGTTAAAGTATACATATGCAAGGAACTTATGGTTTCAACCGTAAAGTATTTCATTTAGAATTTAATGTGATTTCCAAGCAAAGATTTTATTATTTTAGTATAAGGAAAGAAATATTCAGCCCTACTGAGTCAATTTTTAATAAACCCGGGTTGCTTTATTTAAAGCTGGATTTCTTTTGATATATGTCACGGCCAGCTATGTATATTAGAGGTTGAACTTTGTTGAAATGTGTCTATAATTGTTTATTAAGGGTCTTTCAACAAACAATTTAGAAGATTTGGGTGTGGACATTGGCTGGTTAAGTCTAATACATTGGAAGGGCTTTTTATCTAAATCCTTCTGTTCTATCTCTGGTTGTATGTTTAACGTCATCTTCTAGTATGAGCTTCCACTTAAGCTTTTGTGGAGCCTCTAACAGGTTTTCTATACATTCATCAAGGTTTGTATTTGCGCTATATATATGCACCATTATGATGGTGGAAAATGGCATGTTTTTATATACCAATAGACAGACCTTTGAACCTTTTGGATCTGTTTCTGTGTCAAAGAATAATTCTTCAATTTGTTTGTGTATTGCAGGAATCGTCCATGAAAATGTGAAGATGGGTTCGGATGGGGAAAGTGATCAAGCATCTGGGACGTCATCCGATGAGGTTCAGAGTCCAGTGAGGGTCCGTATGAGGAACAATCACCATCGGCGCATATCTAATGAGGTAGAGGAAGCTCGGAGACACAGAAAGCACACTTATTTTAAGACATTTTACTTATTTTTAGTTTTTGCATTGTATCAAAATGTAGATTTTTGAAGGTGACAACAAAAATAGCTGCAAAGTTACAATTGAGGAAGTAAAATCTGTACCAATAGCTGGTCTAATAAAAATGGCTGAGGGAAACTGCAACTCGTTTTTATCATCACTGTAAACTGTTCTGATCTTAAAATATTCTAGATAAGGAGCACTAGATTGCTTGTGTTGAAAAAACAAACCAAAAACAACCCCCCAAAACATTGCAGCTTATGTAAATTTGGAACAGCTTATGTAAATTAGAAAATTGTGTGCTACCATCAGTTTCAGAGTGGCTCTAAAAGAAAAGATGAAATCCAAGGCCTTGGAGTCAGAGATAATAATGATAATAGTCATAGAAAATTATACTGTAGTAATGGTAATATTTATAATCAGAGAGAATCACAAGTGAGTCTCTCAGGGTGCTACTAACAAAAGGAAAAAGAAAAAGATCAAGTAGTAAAATTTAAAGTTAAAAACATAAATGTTTTATCTAATGTTAAGCAGATATAATAGGGAGAAAGATATGAGGGAGGAAAGGCTCTGGCATAGTTTCTTGTAGCTGTTGATTTCTTTTTATCTGTTTATCATCATGCTACAGTATTTAACTTCAGTCTTGGTTAACCAATCACTCACTCCATTTGAACAACTAATGCTACTCTTATTTTTTTATTAGTTTATTTTTTATTAGTCAAGATCTGTTCACATGCACACAGAGTCACTCCATACTCTCTCATTGAGGGGCAATTGCCAGTATTATTAAATGTAAACCTTCTTATCCTTAGGTTTTACACCATTTTAGCCATATTATTAAAGTACCGTGTTGATTTTTTTATCGCACATAAAATGAAGGATATTCAAAGAATTTCATGTTGGTATTTATTACTGTTGCAGCTCCTACACAAAGAACAACGTCTCAAGACGCCTTCTGTGTCTCAATGACGCCAAAGGCTTTGGCAAAATTACTTATTCATTGGTTTCTTTTAATTATTAAAAGGAAACTAGCATAATTTACCATTTTTTTATCCAATGTCAGTGCATATTCCCATCAGGGAAAAATCTCTCCCTTCTTACATTTAGAAAAACTGCACTTGTCCTAACGGCATCCATCTAAGGTTTCTGTCCAGAACCTGGTTTTTAATGTAGCACAGCCCTTAAGCCTCAGTCAGTCTGGTGTTCCTGAAGGAGCCTCAGACTGTTGAGCACAGCAGTATTACTGGAAATGCCTCTGGATGGGCAGCTTGTGACTGCTGTGAGCAGTGGAAAGGACTAATTTAGAGCTTGTTTACCACGAGGAGCGGCAGGAAGAGGATGGAGGGGATAGTGTGGGTGCAAAGCCTGCCAGGGTGACAGAGTAATTATGAATGTGGGAATATTTCTCGCTATAAAGAAGACAGGCGGACGAAGATGGTTCTAGATCGAAGGATGACGGAGATGGTCGAGGGGGAAAGCAAAGAAAGATTAAAGCAGTTTCTCTCAATATCTATTACCCCCCCTTTAGTCACCCCTTCCCCCCATCTGCCTTTTCCCCCTCAGGAATCTGTCCATTCCTCTGCTCTTCTGCTTCTCTTTCCCCTCCTTCTTTTTAAGCATGTGGATGGCACACCACCACAGTGCCAGCCCTCCCTCTCTCTCTCACTGTGTTTGCAGTCACGCATCAGGTCACAGAAATATACATTGTTGAAAGCGCATGTGTGTATGAGTGCATTGAAAAGCACTTTTGAGGAAGACAATGAGGGAGCTACCAGAGCTGATCTGCATTGTAAGTATGAATTTGTGTGTGTTGTGGGGATGGGGGGCGTTTAATAAATCTGTAATAGTGAATGAAAGGATATGAGTCTCAGTGCGTCTGTGAACTTGTGACCATTGTTACCCCCTGAACAGGGGAACATGAATGAAGGCTTTTTTTTTTAATTGGTTTTTTTTTCTATTCCAGTATATTAATGCAAATCCTTTTTGAAATTCAAAAAATGTACCAACCACAGTTTTTGTTTATTTTCCTACTTGTAATATTTAGCATTAACTAATCCATCATGGTCCCATGTCTGCTGTTATTCTGCCTGGTAAATACTATGCTATCTTAGATTAAACTTGTAACACCACTAAAATCTTTGCTTTTAAATTAATTTACCTTCAAACACATACAAACACTTCTGTAGCATAAAGCTAGTTAACATTCTTATGTAAATGTACGCAGATTGTTTGGAATGCTCATATGAAGAGGTCTAACTGTGGGGGTGTTGGGACTTGGCCAGTCGGCCCCTGCTGCCATGGAAACAAATTATGATTGGCACTGCTGAACATGTTCTACATGTGTAACATATACAGTTGGAGGCTAATTATTGTGGGGAATGACTAGTTGTTCCAGCTGTTAAAGAGTAAACTGATCTCAAAAACTGTTTAAAAGGGCAGTGATAATAATCTGATTTATAATCAACAAAAAATTGTCAAAACTCATTTAAGGAGAAATTAACTGTAGAGATCTCACAATCATATTCTACATTATAATTATTTCAACTGAAATAATCAAATATGACCCAGTTTACCAAATTCCTGGGCTCTGTAAATGCAGGGATTTCTCTCTATTAAGCAGCACAGTGGATTGAAAACTGCACTAAGATGTCGGATCAAAATCCTTCAAATTTCCCTTACCTGATTCTAACAGTTTGGAAGATTCCACATAATCTAGATTGTTTTTCTTTCACATTTCTTAAGGAACAATAAAAATAAATTCACTTAACTTTTTAAGGATGCTAAAAATCAGATATAGGGTTGTAACATAAACTTGTAAACATAAAAGGGGATTTTCTTCACAATTGCTTCACTTTCTTTTGTTTGATCAAGTATTAACTGTATTATCTTCCCATTGTTTTTGTTTGTTTCTGTTGTTTTTAAGAAAAAAAATCCAAATAAGTGTTAACTGAATCCAGTGATCTGACTTTTTGGCTTGCTGCACCATTAAATGCAATGAAAAAAAATTGGATCTTTTAACAAGAAACCTGTGTCTAAAACCTAAAAACTAGCAGTAAGGAGACTCCAGATAATGACCTCACAGTTGAAGTACCGTATTTTCACGACTATAAGGCGCACTTAAACGTC